TTAACTAAACCCCTGATTGTATTGTTTGTACTATTTTTAAAATATAATTTATTATTACAATACACATTGATAAAGCAGCTATCCAAAATTATACCAGTTTATTGCACTACTGTTATATTACGCTTGTTGTTGAGCAGTAGACTGTTATATTTTTAGAAATTAAATATTAAATGATATAATAATACTAATACGTCCGGATATGCAGTTTAAAACACTACAATGCACACTCGTATCAATAATGGCAATGTTTCTAACCGAAGAAAAGGTTTTAATAACAATAAATTGTGTAGGTATCTATAAAGACGACTAGCTTTAGTAATATGTTCGAGGGATAGCATATACAACCATAGCTATGTATATAATAGTGTAGTCTGTATCCGATATCTCATGTTTATATGGAAGCCTTTATGAATAGCACGTTAATTTTATACGTGGAACTTGGCAAAAATCTAGCAGTAAAATGAAAATACGGTCAACAAAGATGCCGCTAAAAGAAAAAGTGAGTGGGCTACAGTTACCGTACAACATTTTATGATATTCTACAAGAGTACTTGTTTAAACTTCGTATTATGATGAAATATCATCCCCAAGACGTATAAATGTAATAATCTTTAAGTAATTTTTTTTATATCGACTAAAAATAAAGAAAATAAGGTATTGTAGCGTAATATTTTACATATGAAAAATCATTCAGTATCTAATTAACCACATGAATTTCTAAAAATGCTTAGAATATTAAAATGGGCTACGGCTATTTATTACTCTAGTTTCGTGTCCTGGCGATCAATGACGTCGTTATTACATGGGTCTAATAAACGAGTAGAAGACAGTGGGGCTGGTATCTATGTAGCTAGTTTAAATTCAGTCTACAACATAGTGGACAGATTTCGACGTGGGCTTTTAACCGCAAAGGATTTATGGACGGAAACGTTTTAAGTACGTTCTTCAGTTAGGACCGATCACCGTGTTATTATGTAGTAAGTACATAATTCTACGGCTCGGTTGATCGGTTACATTACAATATTGCAATGGATTTGGTGCGGGTCAGAGAACATTGAAATAGTCATTAATTCGCTCCATTAGAGTTAACAGTATATTTTTGAATAAGAGAGAACGTCAACGCACGTTGATGTAATTATTAAAAATTTGTTCCTTCTAGTTGATCACGTGGCAAAATTTTAATACTATTGACTGTTTGGTGTAAAAAGCAAGCTCGACATACCAACGAATAAAACATTATTACAGCAATGAAATATTGTGTACAACAACAGAAAACAGATTACAAGTTAGTATACAAACACCTTGAGGTTAATAACAAATATTTTGGTTCAGTTTTACTCATACGCATCTCTTTAACGTAGAAAAGAACATAATTTTAATTGAAAAGTCCATAAAGAAAAGTACATTGTTTTTTACTTTTATGAATATGAAAGTAGTACTTTCAATATATTTGTCTGTGATATTAAAGAAGACAAAGCAAAATATAAATTCTTAAAAATTAAAAATTAAAACTTATGCAATCATCATAAAATTTATCAAGCCAAACTAACTAAATACGTTTTTAAAAAATTGGTTAATAAATCTGAGTCTAAGTTTAAATTATTAGTTTTTTAAACAGTGTTACGTATAACGGTACTGACTAAAGGCTCAAATTACGAAATTTTTAACAAATTATTTTTAAATCAATTATCGCTCATTACCTATAGAATTCTTTTCATTTTCAAAATTTAATTATTATTATTAAGTGATAATAATATCACATTGATTCAAAAGATTTGAGTAGTTGATAAGTTATGTTGTGCATATTTTATATGTCAATCTATATTAGTATAATAATTTTTAATAAAGAAACACAAATCATAGATTTTAACACTCATTGGATTATTTTCAGTTAAAATCACATATTCGACCAAAATTTGTAAAAAACTATTAGTTTTTACTTGATGATTATTATCAAATCAACTAAAAAAAGCTAAGTTATTTTAACGATACATTAATCTAGTTAAGTTAAAAAGTTTAAAAAAATTAACTTTTTAATTAGTCAATGCCCACCTTTGGAAATATCATTTATTTAATTAGTTACATACGGTTATATATGTGACTTATTAAACTTACGTTAGTTAATAAAGCTTATAAGAATATATTCTAAGAACACTGGAAAAATCCATCAACAAGTTTAAGTTAATTTTTATGGAAATCATGAGAATGGATTCTACGTCATTGATGTTTTACCCAAAAATATTTTTAAAATGATAAACTATATAGAATATATGTGAAAAAGTGATACAACTATAATGTTCTTAAATTTATTAAAAAAAACTTCAAACAATATTTTATAAATAAATTATCCATATATACATAATTTAATATTATAGTATTAAATACATTGATTTTGTTTTAGAAATTTAAATACTGTTTCCTCGAATCACCTGACTATTTCATATTATATATTTTAGTTGTAACAGCGAAATACTACTGCTTTTTTTTATCGTGCTAGCAAAAAAAAAAATATATATATATATATAAGATTTAAGATATCATAAATAAAATATAAGTGGATCTTTAAAAAAATTGACGGCATTTATTACCACATTTTCGTTATTCCAGTATAGACATCACTATTGACAACATATTAAGTTTTGTTACCGCATTTTTCATTTCGCCTTATATTTCCTTTGACTTATGATACAAACATTATACGGAAATACTCAATAAAAAACCTAATTCAACTTGATGATTCTACTATTCAAAGATTATATTAATTTATGAAACCGTGAAACGTTTTGACAAACTTGAAAATAAAGATATATCTTAATTGAATGGTATTTTGAAATAACAAGATAATGTACAGTTTGCCGAAAACCATTATCGTTCATTATATAATATTATAAATAAATCCATAATTTTAAGTACAACATTCGGGCAAACATTATTTTATTCATAAATACATCTAGTCATATTATGACCAGAAATATATGATAGTACTACTAGTATATTATAACCCAACTCAGTACAGTCGGAACCTTACATTATGAAAATGCAGCTTAATGAGGACCAGTATATATGAAAATCTGACAGTAATTAACACTGTTTAACTCATCTATCAACTTCATTATAAAACGCTTTAATACAAATATGCGTAAAGAGAGTTTCAAAAGAGAATTTTTTTGAGGGGTAAAGTGATTAGTTCCCATTCATCCTCTCTTCAAAAACCTATGGAATAGACATCGAATTATAAAAAAATAAAGTCAGTAAAACATTTCTAAAAATGTTTCTAAGTTTAAGATTTCTACACTAAATTCGAATTTTTTACACATATTGTGTTATATAAATAAACTTAAAAACATGAAGTTAAATTGAAAATGTACTTTAAAATATTTTTGAAGTAACTGACGTAAACATTTTTGTAGATAATAAAAATTATCAGTTTGATAGTTTTATGTTTCTTAGATTTATCATACATTTTATAATATATTATAATACACAATTGTAAATTTAATCTAATGCAAACCCACGTCTTTTTCATTTTACACAATATTTTTTTTAACTCACAAAATATTACCTATGTAACAGTATTAGTACTCAAGTCCGTATTTATAGTTAAATCCATAAACTCAAATAGGAAATTGCTTTAGCTATTATCCATCCCAGGGTTGATAATAGCACAGTTAATAACATTAACGCCCCCAAGCAAATAGCACAGTTTTTTTTAAAGTTTGTCATGAAAAATAAAACTATTCCTTATAATTATTTACCTTATAAGGGCACCACCCTTTTAAGGTAAGAGATGAATTAAAAAAATAACTAATGACTTATAAATTAAAAAATAAATGAAACGAAATATGCCAAAAATAATTTTATTAATTTTATATAATTGTTATTTTAAGAAAAATCGAAAAGCTGACGTTAAAAAAATCACTTTGTATTATGTTATAAATAATTGTTTCCTTAATAATAGAAGAAGATTAGGTACATTATTTCAAACGGAGCGAGAAAATTTTTTTTATTTTAGAACTTTAGCATCCTTCAAGTTTAAATCATTATTTTCGCCTATTGTTAAATTGAAAGTTTAAAAATGTAACTTAAGCTTTCAATCAATTAATTTATCATTACCAAGTGTATATTGGCTAATTCCATGGTAAGAAATATAATTGGTTTTATAAATGAAACGTTTTTAACTTAAACGAAGTGTGATGTTTTCATTGATTACAATTTAAGATGTTGATGTTTTCGACAAACAAAAATCTATTTAAAGCTTAACTTTATTATACTTCTAGAATGGCGGAACAGTGAAAGTTAATGAAGAGATTTGCATAAAACCTTTAACGGCTCTTAAATAAAATAAAGCCGTCTACCTTAATACATTTAATGATTAAATCTGTCAATTTAGTTGGAACTTCAGTTAAAATTGTTAACTGCGGCGAGAAAGTAATAACGACAGATTACTCTCATATTACTTTTTCCACGGAACATTCAGGACCAGTATTTAAATATGGTACTATATACAGTGATTGTAGATAGTATATCAAAACATATTTTTTCTAATAAAATGTTTTCTAGTAAAATGAATAATCTTTTTTGATAGAACAAAGAATATAGGTAAAATTAACAAAATATATTTTAAATCAATAATCAAACAAACGTCTTAAGTTAATTTTATTTGATATTTTAACAAAGTATTTAAAGTTTTATTTTATTTTAAAGAATTATTCAATATTAAAATTTTAATTAAAATTTCTTTCATTCGATGAATAACCATATCCAATGCAAAATTAATTAATACTTTACAATAATAAAAAGACTTATCACAATTATTTTAAAATTAAGTATATAATATCACATATTTAATTTTTAATATAATGGTAAACATATTATATATATATATATATATATATAATTGATTTTGAAAAAGTTGGTTTTAAAAAACTTTTTGCAGAATCAAATTAGGACTTCAGAGAGGAAAAGTTTTGGAATTATTTGAAAATGATTTCCATCTTTTTAATAATGAGTCGTAGATATTTGAATAAAACCTGGAAGCGAAGCACTAATGTATGGTGCTAGGTACACTCTAACCTAAAAAAACAAGAATTAATAAGTTAAATTTAAAAACATAATGATTACCATCTTTGATAGCTATAAAATGATTCTCAGAGTTTCTACATCAAATCCAAACATTATCAAAATGAAATATTCATAAAAAAAAATCGGTAAAGGGCCATTAGTGCAAGTTAAATTATCATTGAAAATATGGTGAAATATGGTATGTCAAACGGAATTTTTCACAGTTCTTAACCTATAAATATTTCAATCACTTCTCTGACAGCTTATGATATTAAAACTGGTTTATATATTGATGATTTTTCTATCAGTTTACACTAGTTAAATAATTTATAGTGTATAAACAAGATAAGTTATAAATTCATTTAGAATAAAATAATATTTTTGAAATAATGCTTAATATATTTTTTTTTGATTGCTCAAAATTTAAAGATTATCTTAACAAAACTTATTTTTCAATTGTTATAACTTATTAATACTTTTTTTGCAGGAAAATTTTGAGTTTAAAGTTTTTTTATTTATTTTATGACTTAATATAACACAGAAAACTGATTTAATAAATTTTGAACAAGTAGTAAATAATTTGTAACACCTTGAGTTGATTTTATTATTGAACAAAGTTTAAACTTGGAAGTATTGTATAGGGACGTTGTTAAGTATTTCTTCTTATAAAAATTTTTTAGATTCACAAAGAAAAATATATATATATTTTTAATTCATTCGAAAAAATAATTGCTCGAACCATAGCTAATTGGAGGTCTTGAAAGATGCTTAACTCCTCCCAAATTTCAGAAAAACTATATGTAATATTATGTGAAATAAATTATATAGAGGGGAGAATTAGATATAATAAGCACCTAAACATTTTTATTGAAATTCCGTCCATGATTTAAACAAATATTAATTTTCCTTTCAAATAAAATTATAATTTAAAACACCATTAATATTAAATATTTAATTATTTCATAATACAAATTTTATATATTTTAGCTGATTATTTTCAAGGAATAATTGAAATTCAAAATATTTTAAATTATTTAATGAATGACAATCTTTACTTATATTCAAGTAAAATATTGTGACTTATGTACTAAATATGGATGACTAAGTCTTATAGAGTAAATGTATAAAAATGAGACCCTTCCGTCATAATGTAATGATGGGTGGCAAATTTTTAAATGCCTATAGACGGAAAATATGTAAATACACCCCTGTCTACAATCCTATCGCCCTTCTTACTGTATACACCACTAAACACTATGATTAAATTAAAATGTGTGAACCTTAATATTAGATATATTTTAGGACTTGCGCATAATAAATCAAATTATAATTGCAGTTTTTGGTGATATTTTTACATTTTTTTTTAAATAGTTTTATGAAATTAATATAATGACATATATTCTTAAATACTATGATGTAATCATCATCTAACAATTTTTTATCAATCCATTTATTAATTCTCCAAAATAAAAACCATTATTAAAAACAAATTAATTTAATAGACGCTTTCATAAAATTGTATTTTAAAGCTCATTAAATTTTTCAAAGATAGGCAAATTAATGGAAATAATTAACTCAAGTTAAGTTAAGTTAAGTTTGAACAATGTCGATAAATTAACAGTTAAAAGTTACCAAATTATAAATTTAACTAGCTAAGTTAAACAATTTTTTTAACTTAACTGGTTTAAAAAAATTTATTGTAAAAATACATATATAACTAACAATGGTAAAAAAAAAAAAATACTATTTTAGAGAAAATGAGTGGCTAGTATTATAAAAATCACCTTATATACATTTCTAATCATTATTTAGAAAATTATGTATATTATTATATAAATATATTATTTAAGATAGGGGAAAATTCAATTTAAACTCGTTTTATTTTAGCACCTTCGATAAAAGTAATTGTAATAAGTTTTCAACATAATTAATATGTAATTAAACACATTTAACAAATTTGGTTATTTTTATTTATTCATAATTTTTATTAGAAAATTACCTTGTTTTACTAAGTAATACGATTTTTTATCGAAGTTTTAATTATTTATAGGTTGTAAAACTAAAGATATATAACAATATTTATTTCAAATTAATAAATTAATTTTTTATTATTAAAATATTTGTTATATTTAAGTAACAAGATCATCTCAAAATTCTTATAGCCATTTTTCCATTAACTGCCTTCTGCACTAAATAGTCTTTCTACAAGAGCTGATGATTGGATTGCTGTATTAAATCTAATGTAAGCTTTTTTATTTGCAAAGGCAAATCATTAGATGTTTTTAAAGATGCATTTGATAAATAGTTATCCACCAACATTTGTGCATTATTTTTTGGGTAATAATTAATTATTTCATTGTACTTGAAATGTAAAAAATCATCTTTTAAATCACTCTTTGTATTTTGTTCTGGTGACATTATTTGAGCCATATCATTATCCTTTTCATAGTTTAAAACTAAATAACCTATCAAATTTTGTCTAATAATAATCTTGTCATTAGGTTTAGCCCTATTGAGTTTAAATTTTGGAACTAAAACTACTGCTATTTGACAATTTTCACAAGTAATATAAAAAAGTATTATCACGCATCACTGTTGGCTGTCTTAGATGGATTCTATGATTTTATTAAGTATACGGTCAAAATTCTATTGATATGCGAACATAAACTTTCATCTAATGGATTCTATTGTTCTATTAGGTATACAGTCTAACTTTTACTGTTCGATAAATATATAGTTCAGTAAACTTTAGCATTATATTTTTTAAAATTAAAGTAATGTTATTTAAAATGTATAGTAGGTAATAAATAACCAATACAAATTTTTTTTTTCCCTTGAAAAATATCTAAACCTTATGCAATTGGTTTCATAACCTATAGTAATAGTTTTCAATTTAAATAATTATTATAATTTAACTCTTTAAATTATGAATTAATTAACTATTTTTTAATATGTATATAATAAATACTATAATATAAACTTATAAGTTATAAATGTATTTATTTTAAAATAAAAGCAATTTTAATATACTATTAATTTTACCTAATTGCATTTGGTACAATAAAATAACAATCAAAAGTCTCTTTTATTCGGTCTGCACATTGTGTGGACTGATTTTGTTTATTAAACAACACATGACATCAGAAAAAATACATCTAAGTCTTTTATAAATTTCATCACTAAGTGTTTCTAAACAATCTACTGTTACAACAAGATTGATGGTGTGAGCAGCACATCGCTGGCATGGAGGTATAACCAAATGTTCAAAATTATTTATGGTCAAATTATCATCTAATACATCAGAAATGTCTATATTTGTAATAGCATCTTCCTCATTTATATTTAAATCATCCGTTGGTTTGTCATTTCCATAAAATATTCTAAAGAAAATTAAAAAAATTAGTATGGTTTCAAATTTTAGCAATACATTTTGTTACACTATTTAAAAAAAACATAAAAATAGTATGATTAAATATTTTAGATTACTCTCTCTTGATACATGAAATAAAAAATTATTGATTGGTAATATTTAAGTTAAAGTTATTGAGATTACTAACACTAAATAAAACATTTTATTATTAATATCATGTTATAAAATGATTTTTTTTAAATATAAATAAATTAAAAAAGACCATTATTTGTAAATTAAATTATTTCATGTTAAAATAATTATGTTGATTCATAAAATTAGTGGAACTATAACATTTTTAAGTTTAAAAACTAGCACACAACATAAAATGAATATTAAGTATTTAATTTTTATTCATTACTCATACTTAAAAACTTTCACAAAATTGGCAGCATTGTGAGTAACAATAAGTGTGGTTTTGTTTTACAAATCAAACTTATTTAAAACGTTATCAATAAGTTTAGCTTTATTTTCAAAAGTACGTCTACCAAACATACGTCTACAAGCAAAAACTTTGCTGGACTTTTTAAGGTTTACAGGATCAAATCACAATTTTTGATGTAAAATCACTTTACTGTTCTTTCAATGGAAAATTCTAATTTTCAAAATAAAATAATTAAAATTTTTAAATTAAGTATTTTAACAATTAATTATAAATATTTTTACATTATTTTTATAAACAATTTCTTAAGAAATAAATATGTATTAATTTCATAAATGTGGCATCAAAATATAAATTTTAAAATATTATGTCAAAATTAAAAACTATTCATTTGGTAGTATTCACATATCACCATAAAAGTATAAAATATGGTACTCAAAAAATAACTATTTTATTATATATTTGAAAATAAAAAAACAAATTTAATTACTTAAATAAATAAATTAGTTTTAGTTATTTTATAAAAATTGTTTATTTAAAATAAAATAAATAGGTATGATTATGAATGAAACATGCATACCTATAAAAAACTGACCAACAATCTCTCATTAATGTCCTATGCGATTCTGGAACTTTTTGAGATATCAGTTTGCAATAATCTATGAAAGCTGGATGTTCAATTAATGAAAAAGGTGAAACTGTATTATTAACTTCAAATTAACACTTTCAAATTCAGTTTGAGTTAATTTTTTAAACATTTTTCAACGTCTTGAATTTTTAACTGTTTTTTATTTGCAGCTTTAGATCTATCAAGCCTATTTTTAAAGATGACATTAAATTCATCCAACTTGTTAGGATGAATGAGCTGTAAAATATAAGCAGATTTTAAAAATAGTATTCAAAATTATGAAGTAAAATAGATAATAATTACCTTAATGCGAATTCTAAGATTGGCATTTGAAGTATGGGAAACTGATATTAATTTTCTTTTGTGTGCACATACAAACATTTAAATGTTGAAGAATTTTTATGTTTACTTGTATTATAAAACATTTGTTTGAAAAAAGAATTGATGTTTAAATCAATTCTTTAATCTTTCAATGTTTAATCTTTAAACAATTTAAAGATTGAGCAATTGATTTAAGTTGTTGATTATCACTTAACTATTAACTACTTAGTTTACTTAACATAATAAAAAATTTCAGAATCACGATTGTATGAAGCCTCTATTACACTGACATCATACACAACCAAAGTGCATTGTATTTAAGCTATTTTTAGAATTTTCCCCAATTCTGAGAGCAAGTGCGCGGCCTTATCAATAATAATTATTTTTATCATATAACATTACATTTGAGTTGAGTATATTTATGTCTATCCTTCATTGTATAATTATTATTATTATTAATCATTGTATATTTTTATAATCAAAAAATATAAAAAACAGATTTTAGTATTAATATTGGATTTTTTTTTAATTAAACCACGTACGCATCCTATAAAAACATACATTTTTTACGAAATATTGAATTTAGCTTAACTGTTATTTTAACTAATTAACTGAAAAAAGCTAAATTATTTCAACGAAAATTTAAACTAGTTAGAGTTAAAAAGTTTATTAGAAAAATAATTAACTAGTTAAGTTGATAAGTTAAAAAAACATTAACTTTTTATCTAGTTAATGCCAACCATTGATATTTCAATGTACTTTTCAACAAGTTAAAATCTTAAATCTAAAAAATAAGTTTTGACATTTCCCAAAGAGTTAAACTACATATCAGGAAAGTTATTTTGGATTTAATTATTATTATTTACTTTATATAGTAAAACATTTTTGCCATCACTAATCAGATTAAACTTTTCCTTATCAAACTAAGTTGGAGAATATTTATGACAACGCAACAACTTTAACATCTGTTATCCGTTTATTACACAGTACGCAAAAGTAATTTTACTGAACTAATAACATATATCAAACAAATTTAGAGTGTCATAAATCAGCAGTTAATAAATCATGGAGTAATGTGTCAAATACAATTAAAAATACAAATATTAACTCCAATATTACCGTTGTTCTAAAATTAAATTTAAAAATTAAGCATAATATATAATTACCTAAAAACGTTAAGTCGATTTTTTTTTTATTGTTGATAAATTTATACTACATGTAAGAAAGTCATTGTATTAAAATGACTTTCTATATGATTTGATATACTTACCTTTGTAATGGTTAGTACATTATATCAACACGTTGTTACGATATAGAACTTATATTGGAAATTTGATTCCTATGAAACCCTGTATTTTTATTATTAGTTAAAAACAAAACTTGTACCAAATATTTTTTATTCATAAAAATATATCAAAAACTAATTTATTATAACTTATTTTCATAACTAATCAGAATAAATCATTTTAATTTAATTCAGTAATATTTTTTTATTTAATGATAATCAAAATATATTAGTTTATAAAATTAAAAAAAAATTTTATTTATATTTTGAATCCGTGATAATGTTGTCGTAGTAATCAATAATAATAGCACACATATAGAATTTTTATTTATAATATGTATAATTTTTTACTAAAAAGTACAACCATAAAATATATTAAACTACAAAAAATTAATTCTATAAAAATATGTGTAAATTTACAGTGTTCCTAAAAAAAAGAAAATTTTATGATTTTTGTTGTTTTATGTTTTTACCTTCTTATGTGATACTGTTTTATTGGGTAAATTTATCATGTATACTTCCAAACATGTACAAATCATACCAATCAATTGGATTTATTACACATTTCGTTATTACAACATTAGTAGTGTTTAATATATTGTCAAATTATATAGCCATGGTTTTAATTGATTCTTCGATAGACAGAAAATTATTAAAAAAAAATGAAAAAATACTATTAAGTATGAAAAATAATTTATGTTTAATAAAACATAAAAAAAAGTGGTTTAAATGGTCTAAAATATTGACAACACATATTTCATTATGCTGAATCCGAATTTGAAGTAATTTTAGTTTATACACTCAAAATTTCAAGAAAATTACAACAATTTGCTAGTATAGCTAAAATTTGCAATAAAGTAAAAAAATACAAATATATTATGTAGATTTATTGTATTTTAGGTATTTTAATACACAAAATGTATAATTGAATCATTTAAGTCCATATATCCTCAAAATGTTAAGAAAATGGCAAACATTTACAAAAAAGTACTTATGTTTGTCATGACAGCATAAACGTTAATCGAGGATCTCTGCCAGATAGATCTGTTAATCACCGTCATGAAGGTTCAATATTATCTAATCATTTTAATTTTCTCAAAATTTGAGGGTTTATAATCTAAATTGACTTTAAATTCAGATTCAGCGTATTGAAATACATAGAATTATGTAGATAATATATATATATATATATATATATCACATAAGTACAGACCACTTTATTTTTGTATGCAATTAATTAGATTATTATTAACAAATACTGTATTCCTAGATAATGATTATTGTAGTACATGCAAATGTACAATTCCACCAAGAAGCCACCATTGTAATACATGTAAAGTATGTATAGTTACAAAAGACCATCATTGTGTTTTTAGTACAACATGCGTTGGTCACTACAATCGGCGTTATTTTTTTTGGTTTCTAACATTTTTTTTCTTGAGCAGCATTTATGAAACATTAATAATTGGATACTATATTTATACTGATGTTACTATTCAACTGTCGGATCTCACAATTCTTATTTTCCCTAAAATTATAACATTTACCAATAAGACAAGAGGCCAACATTTTATTGCTTTACTCGCTCCTAATTTAATTTCAGTTTTTATAACAACCGTTCTCATGAAGTTACACTTAGAAAATATATTAAATGGATCGACTGTGAATGAAAAACATAAAAATTACGATGCAGGTTTAATAAAAAATTTGGAAATAACATTTGGAGAACGTTGGTATATCACATGGGTATCTCCATTTTTAAAATCTAAATTACCCAATAACGGATTGAATTGGAAAATGTTGACTGATAAAAATCAGTAAATACCTATTAAACTCAATTGCAGATATCATTAAATTATTTTTGCTTTTTACGCCTTAAACCATCAAGATTTATTTAATATAAATAATCGACTCAACGACATAAACTAAATGAGTTGGAAAAAATTAGTAATTTATAAATTCAAATGAGATAATTATTAAAACTTTTGAAAATAGTTAAAAAAAGATCAATATGATGATATAATGATTAAATTATTATTATACATTATTGTTGCAGTAGTATTTTCACCAGTCTTTACATTTTACTACATGGTACATAAAAATAATTTTTTCAAATGCATTTTTTATTGATTTTCATTTTTTGACACATAATTAGTTATAGAAATAAAATACTAAAATTTGAAATATTGAGACATTTTAAGTAACACTCATATTTAATTTCCCAATTTTATAAAAATTTTAGCTTCGATGCGAAGCTGAGAAGGTATTAATTTTACTATGATGTGTTTTTTTTTTGTGTCTGTTACCATTCAATTTTAGCTCTCACTGGACCGATTTTTATAAACAATACGTCAAAAGATCACAAATTGTATCTAGTCGAAGACATTATCCTCAAAAATTGAAAAAAATTTCATCGTTCTTTGTAAATGGGGGAAATCCCCCAAAAAATTACAATTTTAACTATTGGTAATTTTTGACATTTTTTCTATTTTAGCTTCGAATGTATTAATTTTACTATGATATGTTTTTTTTGTGTCTATTACCACTTTTGCTCAGCTCTCATCGAACCAATTTTTTTCAATGATACGTTAAAAGATCACAAATCGTATCTTGTCGAAGACATAACCTTTAAAAATTGAACTAATTTCTCTCATTCCCCGTAAATGGGAGAAATCTCCAAAAAAATTTAAACATCGCTAATTTTTGAAATTTTTTCAATTTTTATACTTAAAACTGCTATAACTTTTTCAAAAATGAACAAATCCATATAATTTTTTTTTTATAGATGCATAATGTCTTTGTCTATTATTTGATATATTTTTGTGAACATTTGACCCTTTACCAGACATCAGAGAGGGTTTCAAAATAACAACTTTTTCATAAAAAATGAACTTTTTCAACTTAACTTTTAAAAGTGTTCTGACACTTTTATATATATCTTAAATTAAAGCTAATGTAATATACTTTAACATGGAAAAAAAAAATTTCGGACTTTACATTGCCTTTGTGGTGAAAATGGCTACCGTATTCAAAAATATGCTATTTTTGTGTTAAAATTCTTGGTTTTGTATTTTATTTTATTCTATTTTAAAATATCTTACAAGGGGATTACACTGGTGTTAATAAATATTATATCAATCTAAATTACATAGTATAGAAAGTTAAATATATTTAAATTTTTTTGTTTCTTTGAAGTCGAGAAAAATAACTTTAAAATTTGAACTAGCTAAATTACTATTTTTATTAAGTGACGAATGCGACGTACAGATTCTGACGATAACACTTGTGTATTCCACGCCTATGGTACTGAATTTTTTCTTAATTCTTTTTGAGTTAGAAAAAAATGTTTAACTCATTTGATTTTTATCTTATTTAGATTCAATAACTTCAATAAATATCAAGGTTCCCATTACTGTAGTCTACTCTCGTGAGAAAAAATTCATATTAATATTATTTTACTATGTGGTTTTTTTTTGTAGCTATCATTTATTTTCTCAGCTCTCACCTGACTTACTTTTTTCTACGATATATCAAATGTTTACAATTCGTTTTTAGTTAAACATATTACCCTCCAAAATTAAAAAAAATTCCAATTTATCAAATAAAAATTTACTTAGCTCACATTCTCCATATAGACAATTAATATCATTAATTTCTAATTTGTTTTCTAAGTATTTATTGTCGAATTAGATTTGATATGATAATAGGTTTCAACTACAAAATTAAAAATTTTACTTTGTAATTGATTAATTATTTTACTCTATTTGTGTGTGCTATAATAATGCAATTTTTTTGTAAACATGTTATATAAATAATTTCTAAAAAAAATGATTTTTAGTTTCATCTAAATTGAACTATGGATTTTTACAATTATAATCAAATTTTATAATACACTCAATTGAGTAGATTTTTTTAACTTTTTAAAAAATATTTTTTAAAAGAAATTTATATTTTAGCATTGATGTGAAGTTGAGAAAGTATTAATTTTACTACGATGTATTTTTTTTTTTGTGTCTATTACCACTTTTGCTCAGCTCTCTCCAAACCGATTTCTTTCAACGATATATCAAAATATCACAAATCGTGTCTAGTCTAAGACATTACCATCAAA